CCCACAGCAAAAGAAATGAAAAGAAACCAAACCAAAAAACCAACCTTCAGTATATTGGAAAGGATAAAAACTGTTAAGCTGTTCACGTCTCTTGTCCTCCTACGTCCACATGAACAGTTTTTAAATGGAACAGTTCCATTATCCTCTGCTGAACTGTCAGTTGTAGAACACCCATTTGGAAAATAAGCTATTTTTAAATGTGTTGAAGTGGGGGGAGACTTTGGGACGCATAGAGCTGGAAGAAAATATGTGATTCTGTATTATCTGGTGAATCAAAATAGGATGAATTCCTCATGGCTGTTCACTGGGGAGTATTTCATACACTTCCTTCCTCCTCTCTTCTGTGTGGGTGAGTGAGCAGTTAACAGGAGGTTCGAAAATGGCTTTTTCTGCCATTTTAACAAATATTTTATTTGTCATTTGCACACACTGCTTTGTTTCAGTGCCTCCTAGAAAACTTTCATTAATATAACATCAATCACACTTTATAGCGCCTAACATTTTGGTGTTTTCCACTTGGGAACAGTAGCTGTGTAGTTTCCTCCTAGCTGCTGTGGCTACTATTACCAGGGACCCCCTAACTAGATGTGTTCAGTCAGCCCCAACTCGATCTTGGCTAAACTTGCATTTTGGCAGCCATTTTAGGAGTTAGCAGTGCCTTGCTTTGGAGAAGGTAAAGTCATGACAGTCAGGATAAGCTAATGAGTGGCCAACACCATGGGTGGGAGATTGACCTACTGAACAGATAACTGCATGTCTGCCCATTGCTGCAGGCCTTGCAGAGCTGGGTGCCAACCTTGGTCTATCAATGTAATTTCATCAGCAAATGCAGGTCCTCCTGAGTGTAAATGCTATAATTACCGTGAAGCCACCAGGTGGGCTTTATCACTCTTATTGACCCTCCTCAGTGTCTCCTATCAGCCTGCTTCAGGCATGGGTGACGCCTTTACCCTGCTGGGCCCCTTTGCATACCCAGGGGAATTCCTTTGTCTGGATGCAATCACCTTTGTTGCCCTCCAGGAAAGTGGCCCCCCCCAATTCAGTCAGAGCCAGGAAATCTACAGATGCTTATCCTTGACTCACTTCACATTCCTCACTTCAAAACTCTCTTTCTTCTTTCCCTTTCTTTCAGTCTCCCACTCTCCTCCTGCTCTTCATGACCATTTCCCACCTCAGCAATCTTGCTTGGCCGGTGGCTTGACTTTTTTCCCTCTCTCCTTCCATTCAGCTTTTCGTACACACATCCTATTGGACACAACCATTTCACTATTCCTGTGCCTAAGTGCCTTTCAGTTTGTGCATCCCAATTTGTGTGTGTGTGTGTGTGGTTACTGGTAGCTTAATAAAGGCACTTTGAGCTTGCTTGCCCACTATCTAGGTAAAGATTCCTAAACCACATGACAGCTGCCCCAATTGGTGAATGTGTCAGTTTTCCAAGCTAGCCAGCCTGTAGAAGTGGGAAGTGGCTTTCCCCTGACATTAAGCTTAATTTCCCCCACACTGGTTGCTTTTCTGGGCAAGTGATCTGAACCCAAGTTAGAGTCCACCTGTGTCTTAAGGATACATGTCAGAAAGAGCACATGTAGTAGTGCTGCCGATACAGTCCAGTGACACATTAAAGACTAACATTTATTTCAGTATGAGCTTTCATGAGTCAGAGGACACTGCTTCAGATTGTCTGGTTGCTTCAAACTTTATTTATTTTTTGATTAATATTTTATTGAGTGTATATGTATCCATATATTTTATACATATCTTAACACTTCCCCTCCTTGCTATGCCATTGGTTTAACAATTCCATTCCTCTTGTCTATTTTCCTTTATTATAATTCGCACTTATCCTATCTATTAACTCTAACTTAGTCTATATACTAACATACTAACTCTAACTTACTTTATGAATTACTTTCTACCACTCTGCTACCAAACATACTATCTCAATTCAGACACTTCCATTCCTTAATTAAGTTACTGCATCTACTAAATTTTTCCCTGTAATTTCATTAAAAGCTATGAACATTTTATTTTCCACATTGATGACTAAATGTCCCAGAGGCAGCCATCTGTACTGAATTCCTTTTTCTCTGAGGGTTTTCGCTGTTTCCCTGAGACGTCTCTTGCATTAATTACCTCCGCTGGAATGTCAGGAAACAGATATACAATCGTGTCCTCCAGATTCAGTCCTTGCTTGTCTCTTGCGATTGGAAAAAGTTTATTTTTTGTCTGTAGCTGTTTAAACTTGACAATTATGTCTGGTGAAGCGTCTTCATGAGCCTTTTTGGAGATGTTTAGCCAGAAGGCGGAGCTGATGATCCCTTCAGGAGACACTGTTTTTCCTGCTTCAAACTTTAATGACCTGGTGACTTACTAACAGTCATTTTATTTCCAAAAAGCAATAGGAATAAAGCTACCTTATGACGAGAGGAGCACATTAATAGGTTATTAACTGGGCATCTTATTTTAATTCACATTGTTTTAGATTTCCTCCCCCCACATGAATGCAACATGTTACATGCCCTAAATGCAGTGGCATATCAAGGGCGGCACGGTGGGTGTGGTCTACCCCAGGCACAGCTTGAGGAGGGCCTTTGAAGGGGTCCCTTGAAGCCAGGCTCATGCTGTGTCCAGCCAAACATCTTACTTTTTGTTTTTAAAATGCAGTTCAGGCTGCAGCCACTGGGGTACATGGAAGTCTGAGAATAGCAAAAAGCACTGTAGGATCAGCTACACTTCCCTTTCTCCAAGATCATACAACCAAGCCAGCATGCTGATAGCTGCTACAGTAATGGCCAGCCTGCAGGTTTTCTCCAGTAATCTAGCCTTTCTCTTTTCTTTTCCTTGTGTTGCCAGCATCTTCAGCCCTGAATCTAGCCTTTCTCTTCTTTTCTTTTCCTTGTGTTGCCCTGAATCTAGCCTTTCTCTTTTATTTTATTTTCCTTGTGTTGCAAGCGTCTTCAGCCCTGAACCTGGGGTGGTCTTTCCCAAGAGAGAGAGACCCCAGAACGACCTCTGAACCTCCACAAGCAGCGCCCTATGAAGCCAGGCTTGGTTTAAACAGCGGCTTTTGCTGGGAGTCTAGAAGAACCACATCTTGGCGAGAAAACTGAAGCCAAAGAGAATTCTCCAGGCTGGTTGCACTGCCAAGCGCCCTCTATGCAAGCACCCCCCCCATGTCTATCCTGTCAGCTCAGTCCAAAAAGGACTAGAATGGGCAAGTCTCTGCCCTTGCCTCAGGCATCATCTATTGACCAAATGGCTAGTCTTTTGTCTGTCAAATGTACAGGCAGGGAGGGACAAAAAGCCTCTGGTCTGTGCTATTGTCATGAATGAAGTATGCTGCATGTTTCCATCCCCCTCTCCTGTTGCACTTATATGTCAGGGAATACCTTTGGAATAATCCTCTCATTTCTATCTCCATATATTTGTCTAAGATACCTGCATTCTTACACCTATCCCAGATCTTTCAAGGTAAACATTAATCACCCATTCAGGTTCATCCTGCCACACATTAAGAAGCATCACTTCTTTTGTTTGACACCAGGGAAACGCCAGACCACTCTATTGTTCCACAATGTACACCCCCAGCCCAACCATCAAACACCTGGCTTAATCTCATTATATCCAGACTCTGCCTCTCTAGAAGCTCATTGGTCACATCAGGCCATAACCCTCCTGACAACTGCACCCCCTGGGACACCTGATTGGCCCCGGTAATCCATTGTCTTCACCTGAGACCAGCCCCCAAGGCCTTCCATTGGTCTGCATTGCTTTCCAATGTCTATATCTGTCAGGCACATGGCCTCAGAGTGTGTGCCTCTGCCCTGATGCCAACTGGCAGTCCACCCCTAAACCTCTGGGTTTAGGCCATAATCCTTTCTTCATGGATATCTGGACAGGTAGTATCACCCCATAACTGACCTCTCTATTAGCTATCAATCACCTCTGCTTTCTTAATTCTGTATTGTCTGTGTGAATGTTTGATTATTGTTTGTACACTTGAGAATATTTAGTAAAGAAATCATTATTTTAGCTACCCAGTCTCTGTGTCTATTCTTGGATTCTTGGGAATTCTAACTCCAATATACACAGGTCATGATCCATGCTATATAGTGTGTTCAAATTTGAATTTTTTTTACTGGCATGATTATATATAGGAAGTTTAAAATAAAATTTTCACTGTCTGTGTTTCTTTAATGGCCATTGAAACAAAGTGTGGGTCCAGTGGCATCTTTAAGACCAGACTTTGTTCTGCTGCTTCAGACCAACATGGCTACCCACCTAAATATATTTTATGGCCATTATTATTGTTTGTTTTATTTTATGATTATTACCGAAAATAATTTTGTCATAATAGAAGAGGGCCCCTAGCCTGGATAGCCCCAGGATAGCCTGATCTCATTAGATATCAGAAGCTAAGCAGAGCCAACATGGAGGCAGGCAATGGCAAACCAGCTCCAAACATCTCTTGCTTTGAAAACCATATAGGATGGCCATAAGTCAGCTGTGACTTGATGGCAAAAAAAGAGGAGGGGGGTATTAGAAAATTATCTGCCCCAGGCACTGAATAAGCTAGGTTTGCCACTGCCTAAATGCTTGCTACATGTCCTAAATCAATGGTGTGTGAAACCTTTAAAAAATCCATTTGCCTTCAGAAGCCAAAAAGCCAATATGAAAGGAATACATGTTAAGGATATGTATTTGGAATAAGCCCCACTTGAATCAGTTAAACGTATCTGTGTCTACCTGTTTACGATCGGACTCTAGCCAATTACTAGAATACAATAAGAAATGTCATCCTATTTTTTTATGGCAAGAACAAGTTTCTAGGCTTCTTATAATCACTGGGCTGTAAAGATGTTTTTCCAGGCATTACCCTCTTCCAATAAATCCTTGCAGTCATCACTTTATCATAGTGGCTGTTCTATAGGAAGTGGTTACACGTGCATGTATGTCCTACAAAGCCCTCTTCCCCATAGGACTGACTTTTGTCTTTCTTTCAGGTATCTAGGCCACCACAAGCAGAAAAAAATGGCCTACGGGGTTTCGATGAGAAGGCCTATGTGTCGTCCAAGCTGCTGAAGGTCGGAGAAGACCCTTACCGGCAGCATGCATTCAACCAATTGGAAAGTGACAAACTGAGCAGTGACCGACCCATTCGAGACACCAGGCATTACAGGTATCGTGTCATACTGCAATGATTGTCTTGTGTTGGAATATCATTGCCAGTTGTTGAGACATTTGCGTTGTGATAACACAGAAAGAGAAAAGCTGTTTCTGGATGCTTTCATAAAAAACACCTTTTTGTCTCTATATCAACTGTTTTTCTAGCATGCAAATAAGGCTACTGCAGCACATCCCACAAGAATAGGCTTACCAGGTGCCCACTAATGGCAGGCAAACTCCAGGTAATTCTTTCTGATGCCTGTTCTTATAGTTAAACCTGAATATTATGAGTTATTGGTGGCTATTTCTGCAGTACCAAAATGTAACATCTCTCTTCCTCAAGGTTGCAACTTGTCAACACTAGATGTGATATTTCTAGGACTGGGAAGCATGCTAACTTTTGACTATGCATGAGGAATGTCATAATATCAAAATACAGTGTGGGAAATACAGAGCTGGTTTGTCTCTTGTGAAGCAGCTTCTGATTGCCAGAGAGATGTGTATTTCCTGATCTGACCTAGGCTGTAGGAGCCATTTTTACCATAGAAGTTTTGACCAAATACCAGATGGGGTAACTGAGATCTCCACCTATGTATATGGGGATTCGTCCCTATGAGAACTCTCAGAAAAAAACCAGGAAATAAGAAAGCAGAATAAAACAAGGATGCACACAACAAACATGCACAAAGGCTAACTAGGAAAATCAGGGAGGAAAGGGTTGTTGTAAGGATGAGTGTTGTTGTAAGGATGAGTGAGAATTGCCGATCTTGAAGAGGTCCGCGGAAGCAGCGAAGTCAAAGAGGAAACAACCAGTGTTTTGGGAAGTGAGAGAGAAGAGAGGACCCACTTGCAAGTGGGAGTATGCAGGAGAACCAAGGACACACCCATGAATGGGGCAGCAGGGTGACATTTTTATAGGGCAAAACAGAGAACAATAAACTGATCATTCTACTGGAGACAGATGAATAGGTGGGAGAGGTTCGATGACCCTACAAGCACCGGACAGGAAGGGTGATAGGGAACATGAATAGACTCAATCGTTGATTAATCAGTGCTTTAATCAAGGGTAAAGAGTGAAGAGGAAGTCAGATGGGTGCTGAAGGGATTATTCCTGAGTGTATGGGTGACCCATTGTTCTGAGTCATGCATCTCTCCAGGGCAAGGAGGGAGTAGTAGCCAGCAAGCTGCTCTGACTCATGCCTTGAAAACTGCTTTCCCAGGCCTCTGCCTGACTAGCATCCATTTTGGGTCCACTTTGGCCGAAGAAGTGCCCTGCACTTAAGGTATTCCAATGGCATCCTTCCAATGGCATGTCTGGTTTTATGTGCTCCAATATTTGCTTGTTTGTCACTTTTGCTGTCCAAGGAATGTGCAGAAGTCTTCTCCAGCACCACAGCTCAAATGAGTATTTTCCTCCTGTCTTGCTTCTTCATGGTCCAACTTTTGTAGCCATAGGTTGCTATGGGGAACACAACAGCACAGACTAATCTGCATTTGGTTGAGGCCCGTAGCCAGGGAGGGGGGGATTTGGGGCAATGCCCCCCACAGATTGATTCAAAATAGAGAAAGGGGTATGACAAAGTTGCATTCTTTCACCTTTCCTATTCAACATGTATGCTTTCGTCCATTGTGTTCTGTTTATATGCTTCCATTTTACCATTGAATCTTATAGTAATTTCCCACATTTCCACTGCATGATGCATTCACAAACAAAAATAAACAAATTTTCAAGCCTTGATCTCCAGGCCAACATTTGGGAATCTAAATACTGCTTTAGTGCATTTCTCTAAAATTCCTTACAAGTTGTTGGGGAAAACTGCAGGTGTTTTAAAAAAATGATATAGATCAATTTCTCCCCTCACCTTACCTCCCTCCTCATTCGAGGCATTGCTATCTCCACTGAATTGTAAGCTATTTCAGTGGTGTTAGTGGAAAGCATCTCAGCATTTACCAGTTCACACTTATTTAAGTGCATCAAAAGATAAGGTCATATGAAAGAGATGAAGTGGTAGATAAGATTCAAAGGCTTTGTGCTGTAGCTTAGCTTTATTATCTCTAGGCTTCTGTTCAAAGCAACTGAGTTGGCAGGTCTGTCTAAAAAAGCCAAGACCAGCACTTGAAGGTTTTGACAATACAGAAATGGCAGAAGGGTATCTGGAGACGATACATTAGAGAGGAAAAAGTTCGAAGTTGTTTCTGTCCCTTCAAATCTTTGTTGGCCCTCAACTGATTCCAAAATTAAAGGTTGCAAGGGTTACAGTATGCCGATGACACCCAGCTGTATCTGTTATTGGATGGCCACCCAGATGCCACCCTGCAAAACCTGGCCGTGAGCCTGGAGGCCGTGGTGGGGTGGTTTAAAAAGAATGGGTTGAGACTGAATCCAAGAGGGAGGTTCTGTGGCGGGGGGAGGGGCTTCGGGGCTGGGGCACAGACTTCTGTCTTGACGAGGCACCACTGACACTGGTGCAGCCCGTCAAGAATTTGGATGTGATCTTGGATGCTCAGCTGTTTTCACTTTGTACTGGGGTCCTGTTTGGATGTAGCTTTTCTTTAAATTTGTGTTGTTTATGTATATTTTACTTTGTAAACGGCTTTGAATCCCCATTGTGGGAGAAAAGTGGGAGCCTTCCAGTGAATTGCCTGACACGGTAGGCAGATTTATCCACCTGTGTACTTATCCAGATAACACTGGTCAGGGCTCCAGAGTGCCATTGTTCTTCTGGGTATTCTTTGAACTGGCCAAAGACCAGGGAATGCCTCTTCCTGAGGGAACATCCTATTTACAGATTTTACAATTTCTCCATAATGTGGTGTTAATGGCATTTTAAAAGGGCGGGGGAGAAAGAAAATGTGAGCTAGTGCAATAATATATGTTATATGCCTTGTGCCTGTTCCTAGTTCTTCCACTTACCCTTCATCAAGGCTGCTTTATCTGCTCGAAAATTGCAGTAATAGGCCTCCATCACAGTAATAAAATGCTGCGTGAAAAAAATAGTTGTCACTTAGAGCCATCATAAAACAACAGCAATGAACATTGGGGTAAAAAATAGCAGCAGTTTAGTAATAGCCATAAAACAATAGTAATAAATGTTACAGTAATATATAGTTCAAATAAGTCATGAACAAAACGGTTGGTTATCATTTCTAGCTCTTGGGGAAAGAAATCGTGAAAGTAGCCTTGACCAGCCAAATATACTGTCTCTTTACATCCCGTTGCCCTCTTGCAGTAACTTCCCATATCTTTATTTGGCCATGCCTTGTTGTAAGAACTCTGGGCCCCTTCAGAATTCAGGCCGACATGCTAACCAGTCACCACACTGGCTTTGTATTAATACAGAACAGAAAATGCAAGACACCCACTTTTGGTTACATTCTAGTCAAAACAGGCCAGAGGATACATTCATTCACTGAATTTTCACTGGATTTCTAAATCTCCTTTCAGAATTTCAAAGTGGCATTCAACAAAAATAAACAGTAAATAAGTTATCATTATAATATATCATGAACACAACACCAGATTTTTAAAAAGCAGCAGAGACGGGTGGGGACTAGATCCCTGTTTTAAAAGGCTAATGCAGACATTAAGGTTTTCACTTCTTCCTGGAATGCCTGTAGAAAGAAGCCAAATTGATTTCCCAAGGAAGGGCATTCCAGAGCTCTGAGGCAGTCACAGAGAAGGTCTTGCTACATGTGGAACCCAATCTGGCCTCTCTGAGAGCAGGACTGTACAGCAGGGACTTGCCAATGGATATTAAATCATGTGGAGGTTGCTATGGAACTAGAGGCTCCCTTAGGGAGAGAGAGAGGACCCAGAGAGTTTAGTGCTTTATAGGCTAAAGCCAGCGCCTTGAACTTAGTCTAGAAACATACAGAAAACCTGTGCAGTTGCTTTAATATTTGTGTATTGTAATCTTGCCAACTAACTCCAGACTAAAGTTTGACTGTGCCATTTAGCACTGGCTGACGCTTCCAAGTCATATTCATATTACAATAGCCTGAGATCGCATGGATGATCTTGATTTTCTAGCAGAGAGTGCTGCTGGTGAAGCAACCAAAGCTGGGGAGAAAAGCCCTCTGGGCTACTATACCTGGGGCTCCAGGAGCAGGGCAGGGTTCAAGAGTATGTCTAAAATAGGGACCTGCTTTAGAGTTGCCAAGTCTTTTTTCCTCCCGGGCGGGGGAGCGTTGCTTTGGTCCGGGAGCTGCCGGTGGATGCATGTGTGCGCCACCAGAACATCACAGGAAGTGACGCACGACGTAGAGCATGTTGGGGGTGTGGCCCAGATCGTCAGGGGGGGAAACCATATGGTTGTCCCCCTGACGATCTGGGCCACACCCCCAATGTGAGTGACGTAGCTGCGTCACCTCTGGTGATGCAGCTTGGGGGGACAGAGTTCCCCCCCGGGGCCCAATTCCGCTGTGGCGGAAATCGGGCCTCCAAAGCGGGGGTTTCCCGGCCCCTACTTGGCAGCCCTAACCTGCTTTTTCAAGGAAAATGTGTTCTTATCTAAGATGGGGCTTCCCCCTTCTAGGCCAGTCACCATGTCTGCTGTCAGCATTGCCCTGAATAGAGCTTTGACTTACCCCACCTATTGTGATTCAATATGTATTCAATACAATAAAAATATACAAATAACAAAGAGAATATACATAATAGGTACAAAGCCTAGTTTCACCATGTAAGTCTCTTTCACTTTCATCAGCCAGTCATGAATTTGGGGTCTGTTTTTTTGTTTCCAATTCCTAGCAAAGACCAATCTGGCTGTGTAAAGGTATGCTTGAAGATTTTTAGCCATATCAGCTACACAATTTAACAGTGAGATTTCCGGTTCATTGAGAATCTGTCTCTCGAATCTGACTGATACAATTTCCACCACTTACTTCAAGTAATCTGTTGCTCCACCTATGCTTTTTAACAGGCTTTTTAATGTATGACATTAAAGAATGTGTGGTTGTTCTTAGAACAGGTAAAATTCTGGACTAAAAAAAGAAATAATGAGTGGTTGATGCCCCCAACAGTAGTTATCTGCCAAACTCCAGCCACCTGCCACACTTAGCTTTGCAATTGAAGCCATTGGGGGTGGCTCGGGTGGATTTGTCAAGATGACCATCCCTCTTATCAAACTTAAGTGATCTTCCTTTAGTTACTACGACTCTGTGTTGTTGGGCCTGGCATCTCCCAGCTAACCTAGAGTGTGGAGGGGCACAGAAGGCTAGGTAGGGGTCAGGGTTCCATCCCCAGAAAACAGCACATAAGGCCAGGATTAAGTTCAACAGGATGGCTCATTAGCACTGCAGGGCTGTAGTTTCATTCACCCACCCTCCGCTACAGAGTGGCAATTCCCACTTCCTCTACCAACCACCCCCAAGAATGTTGCACCATTGCCTTTAAGGCCGGCCCCACTAGTTTGCCCCTCCCTGAAGCCTCACTCCCAGGTGCTCTTGGAGCCAGCCTGGTCTCCTGTTGCCCTCTCCCCCCAGGGCCACCAAGGCCAATATCCAGCCTTGTCCTACTTCATGCATGTTGGGCCAGACATGCCCAACTGGGATACTACACTCACAAGACCCTCAGCTGGCTCCCTCTGGTCTGTTGCTGAGAGTGCACCCCCATCTCCCCGGCACTGTGGTCCTTGGCCTGCTTGATCCTGTCCATGTATCATGTGCTAGGAATAAACATATAATTAAAACCAAATTTAAAAGAATCAAAGCAAGATGGCAACTAAGACAGAAACAACAGCTTCAGGGCAGTCCATAGTGCCTCCTGAAGGATGTTAGTCAAATAATAAATTACTGTGGGCAGGGGAGGCCAAGATGGTTGAATGTCCACCACCTCAGCCAAAGGCCTGGCGGAACAGCTCCATTTTACAGGCCCTGCAGAACTATAATAAGTCCCGCAGGGTCCTGATTGCAAATTAATCCTTGAACTTGACAGCAGAATTATAAAAGTTTCAGCTGGATATTAGGAATAGATTTTTTATTTATTCCTTTCTAGCCCCACCCAGAAATGTGATGACCTCCACCTAGCAAGAAAGGCCAGCTGTGGGCTCGGATGTCAGGGTTATATTGGTAAAAATAGCCTTGGGTTGTTTTGATTTTTTGTGTGTGCGTAGAGCCACAGCAGAAACAAGAACCTTCGCTCTTCTCTCCAACAAATTGCTTCTGCACTTTAGTCAGCCGGTTAAATGAATGATGGGAATGGGAAACTCACAACCTGCCCTCAGAACATCTTTAGTGAGAAGTGGTACTTAGAAGCAGTGAGGAAAGTCACTCATGAGCATTTTTAAAATGGTGTGTTCTTCACTGTTTGTGCCCATTGAGACTTGCATCTAACATTTGAGGGTAGCCCTTCTCCTTTGCTTTACTGCCTTTTGAGAAGCAGAGGTATGAATGAACCATGGCCTTTCCCTTTTCTCTTTGATGTGGCAGTGTGCTGTATAGTATGAAAGTGGGATGATTCCTTTTCAATCAATATATCCTTTTGTTTGCCGGAGTGTCCTGTCCAGCATGAGCTGCAGCTAAGGCAATGCTTTCCAGGTGTGAGTCAACCCACAACCACTGAAGAGAGCTTAAATCATCTTTATTTAACTTCACATGCATTCAGTAGATCATTTACTCACAATCAAGCTGATAGCTAGATAGAGAAGTTACATCTTTGTGATCTAGGTCAATTCTATGGCCATGGTGAGAAAGAGATGAACCTGGGGGACGGTAATAGAGCTGTATGGTGCTAGGCTGGGTGTTAAACTGATAGTATATTAATTGGGATGTATAGACATTTAGATCCTGTAAGTAAGTGTTGTATGAAATGTTTGTGCTTTATTAAAACAATAAAACATTAAAAAAAAGAAAAAGAAAGAAAGAGATGAGCTTCCCCTTCTCCTTTGCGGTAAGGATAGACAAAGAAGCAGGAAAAGAGCAATAAAACTCCTCTTTGCGCCTCTGAGCTCAGGAAATTATCCTAATGAGCCAGTCAGAGGGAAGCTGCTGGGACCCCTAACTAAGAACTACAATTCCCAGGTGCAACTACTCTTAAAGATACACAGCAGTTTTACCAAACTACTACTGCCTACAGTTAACGCTTACTGGGGGCAGCACACGGAGAAAAAGCAACTTTTTTTCCAGGAGCTTCCATTGAGTGGCAAATTGGATGGCAAATTACTTCTGAGAAGTCCCAGATGGTCAGTTTCCCCCCCCCCCCAAGAGATGTCTTTCCAATGCAGGAACCAAGTGGCTTGAGCGTCTCTAATGACTGACTCAGAACAATGTAAAACTGACTGGATGGGCCCAATTCTAAAGAACGGGATATGAATGAGCAACGGGAAAGTCCTAAAGGGTGCCAGAAACCTCCATGAAGTGAAAGTTTGCCTTTACTGCACTGTCAAAACTAGTGACAAATAGGATTACCAGATATCCTTTTAGGGAACGCTGTGGAATGCTGGATCAAAGAAGAAATACTCTGAGTTTGTGGTGTCTTATGCTGAACCATGTAGTTGCAATTTTCAAAAAATATAGGAGTTCATGCAACTCTTTATTGATTATGCTGATACCCCAATGATTGCATGCCTTCCATGCATCCACCCAAAGGTTTGACTTGGCCAGGGAAGTAGAACTACAGTGGTTAGTTAATGACTCCACTGGGTGAAGGAGTCAATTGGTCTGTGGAGCTCCTGCCCAGAGGCTTGATTGACAAGCCAAGGGTTGGGGAAGCAGGAGGAGGCAATAGCTGAGTCCTGCCTGCCTTGAGTTCTTAAACCAAGCGACAGATGTGGAAGGCAATTAAACCCAGCAGCTCTTACTTTTCTCACATAGGATGAGCATATAATGATATTATTTCAGATTCTTGCTAGAACTTTAACATTCTTAACATGTCTTTATTTTAAATGACTAATAAGAACACTCCATTTCTCCATAAGAACATCACATTGGAATTCTGAGAAGAACTTGGTCGAGTGTAAAGGTTGCCCATAAAATTCACACCGTCAGCAAAAGAAATATTTGCAAAGTCATGCAAATGAATCCCCCTCCAGCTTCACAATCTCTTAATCAGTAAGGAAGAGAGAGAATGTAAAAAACCCACTCTAGGCAAAACATTAGCATAGCCCTTAAACAGAGTAGCTGGGCATATATGCATTTCACATTAGTCTTTCTTTCACTTTAAGGCATCTAAATATTGCCATTTTCTTGACCCTGCTCTGAACCATCAGTGAAGACCTTTTCACTTCAGTGATCTACATGACATCATTATCTTACTTTCCCCATAAAGAGCTTTCCCATGTCCCCCTTCTGAGAGATTAATAGCAAGTAATGTGGTGACTTCAGCTGAATTGTCTTCTGCTGGAGATAGTGTTTGAAATTAACTATTTTCTGTGTGGATTTCCTCCACTGCAGTGTAAATTTCAATGGCTTAGCAGTGCAAAGACTCACAGTACCGTAACTGACATCTGCTCAGTAAGTTAACTCTGTGGATGGGGTAGAGGTTGCTCACTGTGGAAGGCAACTGTAACGTGAGACCTTCCCAAGTATCCCCTTCTCAGAAGGGGTGCTAGCCTAGCCACTGCATGCCTTCGATGCCATCGAGGGACTCCTGCCAGTAACAGTGTGGGCCTCCACTGCTTCTTGGTGGCTGCTGAGCCATATATTACCTGCTGCCCCCTCCCTGGTAGCTTTGGGGCCATACGTGGAGTGCTGTTCCCAGCAGATGTGTGTAGGATCATGAATGGCTCCAGTTTCTCTTTTCCAACGCGCCTTACCCTCTCACACATGTAGCGGATTCTGAAAATTTAGATAGATGCCATCTTTTTTCTTAATAGAATTTGAAACAGACATGCTTGTTAACTGATGTTACTGGCAGCTGTAATCCAATGGATATTAAGCACTGTTGTCAGCATTGCCAGCATGTGATGAATTGCACTTGAGTAAAAGAAGCTGTATGGAAAACTGAGTGTTGGCATGGCATCAGCATTCAGTTATCAGCTGCCTGGTAAATATATGCATGAGGACCCATGAGTCTGGCAGCAGATACGGGACTTTGTCTTATTATCAAATGCCCTGTTTGGATGTGTCTGCACTGATGAAACTTCTTTTCTCGTTTGTTACAGGTGCACCTCTGTACACTATGGGGCAGACCTGCCAGCCACCAGCATCATCATAACTTTTCACAATGAGGCTCGCTCCACTTTGCTCCGCACAGTGAAGAGGTAAAGTGTGCTTTTGGATTTTAAGAGGGAGAGGTTGTGTTCCTAAGCATGGAGAAGTAAGCATGGAGAAGTAAATCTCATGAAATCAATAAAGTTATGTATGAATGAACAAGGATTAGGTCAGGGGTGTCAAACATAAGGCCTGGGGGCTGGAACTGGCCCGTCCAGGGATCTTACCCGGCTCACAAGCAACTGGTATGTATGGAGATGTAAGGTACTCCCCCTTTATGGTATCCCTCGGAAAGAACCTAGCCTTGCATATGATTAAATACATTTATTGGGGTTTTTGTGGGTTCCCTAGTAAATCAGTTGCTTTCACTGCTAGGAATCAATTGCTTTTGTTCGTACTTTGAGTACGAACATCCCTAAGCTACGTCCGTTGGTAAGTACAGTTTAGGCTCAATACATAACATAAATGAAAAGCTGTTTCTACAAAGCTGTCTTCTCCATGGGTGTGTGGGTGTGGGTCTACCTGCATTAATTACAGAGTTTTAAGAATCCATTTCCCAAAACAATGTCTCAAGGCATAAGCGGCTCAACCACCAGGAGCACCAAGCACACTGTTATCTAGATTCTAGAACAAAGATTCTCTTTTCAGTTTGTTGTAGTGGTTAAGAGTGGAGGACTCTAATCTGGAGAGCCGGGTTTGATTCCCCACTCCTCCCACACATGAAGCCAGCTAGGTGACCTTGGGTCAGTCATAGTTCTCTCAGAACTCTCTCAGCCCCACCTACCTCACGGGTGTCTATAGTGGGGAGAGGAAGGGAAGGAGATTGTAAACTGCTCTGAAACTCTTTCAAGTAGTGAAAAGCAGGGTATAAAAACCAACTCTTCTTCTTTTCCAAAGTAGCACCCTCCAGAATGGAAGCTAATCTGAATCTGAACCCTGAATAAACTAGGCACTAAAATTCCACTGTTTAACTGAAAATAGAATTCAGGATAGGCCAAAATCAGATCCATATATTCAGGCTGTGTAGATGTTCTTTTACACAAGCTACCAGTGCACCTGATACGTGTGAATTGGGAAATAAATTGCTTTTCCACGCAAGTACAGCTTCCATTCACATGAACCAGAATTGTGATATTCCAGGGTTCTGGTTTGCATGAACAGAAGCTGTATCTTCATGGAAAATCCACATGTTGCCTGGTTCACACGAGACAGCAAGCACACGTATCAGGTGCATCATGGGGATTTGCATGCTCCCAGTACATGGGGCTGATGGCCTCTTGGTTTGCGTGAATAGAATGTAACATAATATCTGCAGAGAGCTACTGGCATGTAAACAATTGGTCAGTGTCTTAAAAGACTGGATTGTGGTTTGCAAAAAGGCTATTTGAGCTACCTATCATGTACCCAAGATAGGGTGTAACCAACTTCTGCCTGATATTGAACCGATTGGTATTTAAAATGAGAAATTCCCGAGAGGACAACATATCTATGTGACTCCTTTCTAGGTAGGCTGGCCAGGAATTTAGGAAATTCCCCAGAGCAATTCAGGACACTTACCAGGGATTATGCAGCAGATGGAAAGGGGGAGGGAGAAAATGGGTTTTGCAGTCGAAGCCACAAGCAGCATGGGCTTCATAAGAATCACACAGACTTGCATTGCTGATTCCTCACAATGGAGTTTTGCCCCTTTTAACATGGAAGCTTGTCATGTAAGATGGCTGATATAAACTTGGTTTATCATGGAGTGTTTCTAATTAGATTAGAATATGTTAAGGGCACAGAAGGAATCACAGGAAGGGGCAACAGTTTGAAAATCCCACCCCCAAATGCCCTAATCCGAACTCCCAGGGGCCTTGGCAAACAGATTTCTCATCCTCCCTCCCCCTTGACTGCTCTCAATAGTCTGTCTGTTCTGGAGCAATTACAGTTCTCCTCAGGCCATTTTAATACCCCCCTCTTCATGTATGCAGTCATATTTTTCTGCATATCTGAGAGTCCCCGGAGTGTGTAGAGCTCTGTCGCGCTTACCAGTCCCCTGCCCGGGGTTGCCACGTGCTGCCGTGCCGCCTCCCGACGAGGGGGGGGCTCCTTCCCCCCAAATCCGTGGTGGGAGTGATGGTGCGGGGAGTGCTGGGGTAGCCCAGAGCAAAGCGCGCCTTTTCAGGAATTACCTCAGACCCAGGCCCGTCAGAGGGTTACGTCACCCTCTTTGGCCTGCCTGAGACCGGCACCAACAGCCTGTGAATACGCTCTCTCTCGCTCACCAGGACTGTCTTTCAGTAAGCCAGCTCAGGGAATCCTCCTCGGTTCGCCCTGTGCGCTCTTTTATTGCCCCCGGACCTCCCAGAACTCCCAGCGTCTCGGCCCCGCCTGCTGTGCGAGCCCGTGCTCTGGCTCGCCCTCCCTCCCTCTCTGGTGCGGTCGGCGTCCCGGTGGCAGCATGTGTCGCGGCAGCGACCGTCGCGTCGGCGGGCAGGTGAGCGGCCGACTGTGGGGTGGGGCCGTTCTTCCCCTCTTCTCCTGTCGTCCCCGGGACAAGCTCCCTACCTTGTTTATGTCTGATCCTTTTGTGTGGCTTCCTATATCTACTCAGGGCAGGTCTTCACCCTTATGATGCCTACATGATCCTGGAAAAAAGATCTCCCTGTAGTCATGCTGACTCCAGCTGTAGCAATTAATACAGACATGAAAAGACACTCTTGGGCTTGGCAACAGGAGAGACATTTCTGTTGGACAGGAGGGAGTCACAGATTTTCCACTCATTCTTTTGAAGTCCCACATGAAACTGTGGCAGCCCTGCCTAGTGAGACAGCCTGGCCATGGCCCTGATTTAAGCAGTTTTCCACCTCAGGAATCAAGTTTTTAGAAACTGCAAACATTCTTCTGGGCAGGGTAGATTTGTGATGCCACCAGGCAGTAGCCAATCAGCTCTGTGCACAGTGGGCTTTTACTGAGGAAAAAACGAGCTCATTTTCCTTGACCTCTGCCCTAGAGAGGGTTGAGATAAGTTGGAAAACTGCTTCCTGAGTGCAGCTCCCCTTTTGATGTACGCCTGTGTGCATCCTTGGCCTGGCTGCTTCTGTTTTGTTTTCTTTATGTAGCAAAGAAATGTTTGCAACTGCCAGTTTCTCCAATATCTTTCTAGGCCAGAAAATACAATAAGATTGTTTACACTTTGTTTTTCCTGAGAAAACATCCTCTGCTTTCTTTGTGATATAAAAAAATTCATTCAGAGTCTCCTTTAAGTAGTCAGCCCAGTTAGGGTAATGCTTTCTCTGTGGATGCAGAGTGGGGAGGGCAGGGAGGGGAGAGAGAGCGCATCTCAGCTGGGAGGCAGCTGAGGGTACCTCCGGCAGTGATGCATTATTCATTGGAACTAGTTTTCCTCACTCCAGGTCTCGGGGTCTTGCAGAAAACTGCTTTGTGAATAAATAACAGGCTCTTTCAAGTGCGGCTGAGCTGGCCTTCATAAATACAAGGATGGTTTTGCACACTAGTGAAAGCAGAACAAATCTCTTGCAATCAGCTGTTGGCACTGAGAAGATTGCAGCTGGGAAGTATAAAATGTTCTGAACTAATAGGTGTTTTCAGACCAGGACTGGGCACACCCAAGACATTGGCATTCTTTTCCCCTGGCAGAAAAACGACTATTTGATTACTGATAATCTGCTGTTTTTTTTAATGACACACAATCAGGCAGTTGATTTGCTGTGCTTCAGAATATGGCCAGCGCTGAGACAGAGGCACTGACACGACACAGAAGCCTGTAGCCTTGCTGAACTATGCAGGATGCACCAGTGCAGTGTGGGATATACTGCACTTCGCTTGGCAGGCCATTGTTCCTAGTGCGTCATTTCTGCAGTGATGACAGGGGTCAGACCTCAGGTCTGTCTAGAACTCCACCTCGTCCCTCACTGTTGTTTATAATTCACTTTCAGTTGTCTATAAAATTCCTACTCGAACTTGACTCAGTATTGCTAACTTCTCTGACTCTAATCAGAGACTGGCTACACTAAGCTTGGAATGAAAGTAGTTGAAATTACTTGCCTTTCTGTAGGTTCTTTTTCTTTTAAAATATTTTTATTTACACTTTCCCAACAAAAACAGACAGACAAAGTCTAGTCATTTTGGAGGGGCTGAGGTGGCTCAGAGGTTAAGACGCTGAGCTGCAGACCGGAAGGTCGGTAGTCCAGCAGTTTGAGATCCAAGTGCTGCGTGACGGAGTGAGCTCCCATCTCTGGCCCCAGCTCCTGCCAACCTAGCAGTTTGAAAGCAAGAAATTGCAAGTAGATAAATAGGTACCACTTCCATGTGCCTCGGCATTTAGTCATGTCAGCCACATGACCATGGAGAAGTCTTTGGACAGTGCTGGCTCTTCGGCTTGGAAATGGAGATGAGCACCACCCCCTAGAGTCGTATTTGACTGGCTTTCGAGCAAGGGAAACCTTTACCTTTACTACTCATTTTTTACAGTGTTCATTCCTTCCATAGGCTGTTTTCTTTCAGTATTTTCCTGAGGCCTGTGGGCATTCTGCAGATGCACAAAGTTTCTTGCTTCGTTTCAGCTTTCCAGCATTTCTAAGAGGTCCTGGGGCTAAGCCCTGGTGACACCTGAGGTTCCACTGAATTCTGATGATCTTGAGTGGCTCAGGGCAGCATCCAGGCCATTCCCCATAAAATATAAATAATGACTAGAATAATTTATAGGAGGAGTCAAGGAGCAGTCAGTGGTAAACCAGACCTTGCATAGTTAGAGTCACAGGGCTGACCTGCAGGCATAAGATTATAGTTGAACCAGATATGGTTCAGTATTGCATGCCAAGCTCAGGCAAGAGTCAGGAGTGGAATATAGCACCTTGGTTCTGGTGCACAGGGACAAACTTAGCATTCTGGTGAAATATTATTGCAGGGCCCCCAGATAGGGTTCCCAGCTCTGGATTGGGAAATTCCTGGAGATTTGGGGGTGGATCCCAGGGAGGGACCTCATAATGCCATAGAGTCCTCTTTTCAAAGCAGCCATTTGCTCCAGAGGGACTGATATAAGTCTGGA